GGGGGGGGGGGGGGCAAGTACATTGACATCAAGTAAAAATATATCAAAACTGCTTTTTGGTAAAGTACTACCAGGTATCGTGTTTGAGGACACTTGAAAAAAGACACGGATAAGACGTGAATGATGACAGATAGAGGCAGTAGTATGAAAAAAGATGGGCGAAAAACGCCACTACTGAAAACATCAGCTTATGTTACTTAAGGGCTCTAGCGACAAACATTACGAGACATCGAGATCCTAGTTCGCTAATTCCCACTAATCTACTTAGTTGGGTTTATCAGTCAGAAGTTACTATTCTTCTCCGATGCTTCAACAAATTAGCACCTTGATTCAGAACACACACACCAAAGTGAAATTAACGAACAGATTTATATGAAACCCACCCACAAGAACCAAATTTTTCGTAGTGGAAACCAGAAAGCGGAGCTCTAAGACCGGGAGAGATGAACTACAAAAGACCACAATCAGAGAAGGTGCGATTTGAGGCCGGAAGAACACTGAACTGTTTGACCACTATATGGGTAAGCAGCAGCGATAGTGCGCACAAGACTGTGATCATAAATATCGAATGCGAGGGAAAACCGACTATGACGAAAGTTATTGTTTTTAATTCCAATGCCACTTATCGGTTTGTTTCACTACACTCCTTTGGGTCAGTTTCAGAGCAAACTAATTCGGCAAAAATGGGAGTGACAACAACAGAAAGACACAAATGATGGCAAGTTGACCGAGGAGATAAGTAAACGTTTGTTGCTGATGAGCATGATAATAATCAAGTATCAACGACGTAAACAAGTTGTTCCAAAAGTTGGTTGATGCAAAATAATGACGATAAAAACATTTCATTATGATTACTCCACACACACAATGCTCAGTTCATCCAGTTCACGATACAACAAAGAAAAAAACTCGAAAGCAACAGATTTGAGTTTGGCTTCCTTTGATGCATTGTCGCAAACCAATCCAGACAAAAGCGAATACCTCACCACTGTTTTCACCAGCACGCACTGGGGGTCCACTATTATTGGCGGGTCAAATTTGTCCAAACGCTGTGTTTAAACGACAATTAGCAACGAAAGATGATCCGTTAATTTCAACGGAAAAGCATACAGTTGCAAGCACTCCTGAATCCTAATGTGCATTCTAAATTGTTTCGCAACAGCAAGACCGAGTTGAAATATGGCTTATACTGATGCAACATCCGGTATGCCTAACCTAACAGACTGGTCGTGACACATACAGGACACACACACACACAGGATGCAGAACGCAATCAAACGGAGACTGGAAGTAATCAGCACAGTTTGCCGTCTCTCGATGTATTTTCCTTATCCAAATGATTTACCCTCTATTAAATATTCCAACGTTCCACACAGAAGAACGAACGAATGATCAAAGTTGGCACGAATAGGCACATATGTCAAGTCAGCAGAAAGATGGATGAGAGGAGAAATCAAAATATGTATNCAAAATATGTATGGCTCACTGATTCGGATTTGGTGAACAGATGAGGGATAGATGAATGGATTAAGTAAAGCAAGAAATAGTAGCAGTTGCCCAGATATTTTCATCAATGGTGAACGGTATAACAGGCAGTGACGTGAACACGTCTTGAGTGGGTCGTTTGAATACGCTGCTGTCACGTGGATGGGCTTCCATCAAGAGTGCATTAAATACAATCGACGATCTAAGCGAAAACTGATTCTATCCGGACCGTGAATTATTCGGAATCAACTTGCCATCCCATAATATGCACTTTTCGCGTGATTACTTGTTTACATTTACCTTATTCCATTCGAGGGCGGCTACCCATCATCCAGTAAAATAGCAAACGCATCTGGGTGGCGGCCGTATTGTATGCAGCATCTATATGCCTTTAACAATTGCTTTGCACGCTTCATTTGCAATATACAGGACGAATTTCCCCTTTGAAAGTTTTGCAACGCGTTCATTAGATAAGACATTTGAACGCAAAGATGCTGATTTCACTTTTTTAACGAAGTTGGAACATATAATACAGGATTCTCACTGTCCGCTTCACAACGCCCTGTATAAATCATAAAGATAGAATAAATCTGAGTCTCTGGGTGAATGTTGAACCGTAATTATTCAATCAATGCTTAAAAAGATACGTGAATGGTTTCCAACGCACCCAAGAATTCTATCTATCTGAACAGCAGGAGTGTAAGAAATTGTCATCCACATGGCGTGTTTTCGTCTGTAGAGATTTCCTCGTGCCTTTTAGTGTCCCGATAGTTTATCAGCTGTTCTGAACAGTCCCACAACGAAAGTTTTGAAATATCCTCCTTGCATGATGACAGACCCTCAGATGAACCGCATAACACGCCAGCAACGAGTGCGTGAGAGTGTATTGCTATAGTAGGGAACGAAGCGCATAATGCCCACACATTGTCCGAAATGAGGACTGCCAGCAACAAACTGACCACTTCAGTTCAATGGAATCAACCACAACTTAACATCAACATGAAACGTTCAAATGACTTTAAATCTACGTTGGAACCTTGATGATCGATAAACGAGCTGAAATGGGTTCGACCAATGTGTTTCGTCTGCCGTATTTGCACAGCGCAGTACACAAAAGCGTGATTTATGA